CATCAGTTTAATTGTTTTAGTGACCAGAAAACAAATTTTGATATGCGTCGGCTTACCCAAAATGAAAGGTTACGTGCCCTTGGCATGCTACAGATCGGCACAACACAGGCGGTTGTGGCGCGGACGATGAATGTTTCTCAGTCTGTCATAAGCACGCTATGGTCCAGATACCGTGATACACAATCTGTACAGGACAGACCACGCTCAGGTCGACCAAGGGCGACAACTCAAGCCCAGGATCGATTTATCCGTACCTTGGCCTTGAGAAATCGTGTCATCACAGCAAATCAGATCAGCGCTCGTCTTCAAACAGACAACTGGTGTGAGAGTGAGTGGCCAGACGATTCGGAATCGACTGCATAGGGGTCACCTTCGCGCCCGACGTCCTCGCGTGATCCCTTGTTTGAGAGATCATCACATTCAGGCAAGACGTCGTTGGTGTAGGGATCGTCAACACTGGGATAATCGACGCTGGAGCAGTGTGATGTTTTCAGATGAGTCAAGGTTCACTGTTGATTTTTTGGACAGACGTAGGAGGGTGTGGCGTCGTCGAAACGAGCGCTTCCAAGACGTTAACGTCATCAGACATGATCGATTTGGGGGTGGTTCTGTTATGGTGTGGGGAGGCATCACTGTTGCTGGAAGAACGGCTTTACATGTTGTTGCAGGGCGTGTTACAGGCCAGTACTACCGGGACAACATCTTGGCAGTCCATGTTGTGCCGTTCGCACGACGTCATGGCCGCCGTTTCATCTTCCAGGATGACAACGCAAGATGTCACAGGGCCAGGATCGTTACAGGTTACCTCCAACAACAGAACATCACCACATTACCTTGGCCAGCACTGAGTCCCGACCTCTCCCCCATCGAGCATGTCTGGGACATGCTTGGACAGAGGTTACGTCAACGTCAACAACGTCCTGCCAATGTCCAAGAACTTGCTGCTGCGTTGCAACAGGAATGGGACAATCTGGACCAAAATGACCTTAGACGTCTCATTAGGAGTATGCCACGTCGGATCAATGCTTGTTTGGCAAACAGAGGAGGATTTACCCGTTACTGACTTGGTTGTGATGCTGTGGTAACTTTGCTGTTTGACCCCGGGTATCATTTTACCCTTATAATGGTCAGTCTGTGCCTTACTTAGTCTAACGATCATTTGGAATAAATCGATGAATGTGAACTTCATTTCATTTTGTCATTTGTTTCTTCGTCAGTTTCATTAGGTGACTTTAATAACACTTAAAAATCAAATATCCCCTACTTTTTTTTGAATAGTATATATTCCAAAGGGCAAGTCTAGGTTGAAATTGTGTTATCAAAACAACTGAACTTTATCTAAGTTGTCACCAGTTAAACATACATTATGCAAGAACTAAATCTGCCTATTGCAGGCCAGAAAAGTTTTCTAAATTATTAATTAGACATTAATTAACTTATCCAGACCATAATCAACTCTCGATGGCATCGGATTTCTCCGATATTAAATAGATTAGAACAGTTCAGTCATATTTTGATTAAAGCTAAAAATGGAGGAGCGAGACTTAACTTCGAACAACCAGTACGATGGTTGAAAATTATTGCACACGTCTTTTCAAACCTTCAAAGCCTAATATCTTCGCTCGCAACAGAGTAATTTGAATGAAATTTTCAAATTATTCATTTTACATTATTTATTTTTGAACTATTATAGCAAGAATGGCTAGCTCTTTATCTAAATCTTACATAATCTATCTTTAACGTAATAAACTTTGTTTTCGAACTCCGGTTCTTTTTAGTTAATATACCAATTTATGGAAGCTCACTTCAGATTGATCTAGTTTAATCACATCTCTTGTTAAAGAGTATACGTTCAATAGCTCATCTCTACTGTCGTGAATAATCTGGTTAGTGGAAATCAACACAAATAACAAAATATACAATGCATATATAATAACTTTCACCCGAACAACTAGACATTGTGTCTCCCCCAAGCCAATCTGACTAAAATACAGATCTATGTTCCGTTTCGTTTTTTATACTTTCGAAGGCCTCTACTAAGTAAAGATTTGATCAGTTGTAGTGGGTGGTCGTTTCAGGGGTCATACGGGCGGCTTTTGACTCTATGACGTCAGATATTTGATTAACCAATCAACGTTGACGTTTCTCGTAGAGTACCACAGTTTCGTGCATCGCACGCCAAGCACTCTTTGCAACAGGCCGTTTCAATGGCTAATCCCTCACATCAACCAAAACGTGGATTATATAACAACTCTTCCGGAACCTAGTGTAATTTACGTAGTTTACTTCTAGAATTATTCAATAAGTCGTGGTCAGAAGGAATAGTTCCTACAAGCTGAAAAACAACAACGATAACCCCGTTGATTAAACCATTAAAAGACAAAAATGAAACAAGTTCTTACAGGCCAATAAGTTTGACGTCTACGTTGAGACTATGGTAAATAATAGGCTAAAATATTATTGTGAAGGTAATGGATTAATTAGTCCAAATAAACGTGGATATAGGCAACAGCGCTCCACTCTTGATCATAATATAAGGTTACAACATGACATCATGACTTCACTGTCTAAAAAGAACAATTATTCATCGACCTGACCAAGGCATTTGACTTTGGGTGGATATCCTAATTTAAAAAAAAGTACACGGACTAGGGGTAACAGGGTGAATGTTCCACTGGATCTGGGATTTTGTTAATTGATAGGCAAATACAATTTAATATAGGTCTCTCCATTAGCAATAAAAGGCACATCCCAGGGCTCTGTTCTAAGCCCGACACTATTCAATATCATGATTAATGACCTTCGGTCTAATAACTACATTATGAAACTTATATTGGCGTACCGGTTTATGCAGACGACAGTTCAATCTGGCATGCAGCGAATAACTACCGTACGGTTAGAACGAGAATGCAAGAGGCTTAGAAATGGTCTAATTGACTGGGGATTTCCAATATCTGAAAGTAAAACAGTAGGTATGCTCTTTTGTAGGTACCATAGGAAAGTGTCGTCCATGAAACTGGAATTGAACAATAGCCAAATTAAATTTAAAGATCGGGTAAAGCTTATAGGGGTGACCTTTGATCGCAAGATGACTTTTATACTACTAGTGAGGTGCGAATGCGGCCACATTTTGACCGTTAATCATGTCGTTATTGCGTGAAATAAATTGGAAGAGAAAAGAATCCCTGTAAGAAGTTTAATGGGAGATGCCAAACTTTAATATACCCTCCCAAGAGAAGGGTTTAATATAGGCTATGCCTGTTCCCTAATCCCTATTCAGATACAAATCTGAATAAAAATATTGTTTATAGAAAAAAAGTCCCCCCCCCCCCCGCTTCGGAATATGTCGTATAAAATTTATGAAGCGATCTCAAAATTCATAGCAGAATCGGGAATTAACTGTGACGCTAGTTGCGAAGAACACTAGTCATAACTGGTTGTGTAGATCAGGTTGGCGGCTAAGCCACCTGGAAAGCTTAATAATATCAGAATGAATTGACATTAAGATAGTGAACATATCCAGGTACTATTGATGTAGGACAGTATGGCGGTTCGGTCTACTGCATGATTTAATAATATATTAGAGAAAAATAATGACAAAATGAATAGGGACCTACACAATTCCATTGTTAATAGTGATAGATCATATCAATCAATTTAATTTAATTTGTGTTTAAAAATTGAATGCAATGTATTATTTCTATAACAATTTTAATTTGTTTTAATTGTTTTGTTCTGTGTTGCTGCTGGCTCTTCTTTTCTTTTTGGGTAACTTTTATCTGGAGAGAGTCATACGCAAGAAAATCCCTAATGGCATGCCTATAACCTTTAAACGCTGAAGTTTTTGACCGTTTTAAAGGACTTTTAACTAACGTTTAACTATATGGAACTTATTGTACGATCAGTTTTTAATAATCCACGGGTCCAGCTATGTGGGGTTTTTTACCGCGCGCACTTCGCTTCTCCACATAAAGCAAGCGGATTCTTTTTCCCCATGTTTTTTTTCTATCCGCACTGATGACGCCAAACATCAGTCAGCTGTTCCTTCTTCTTTATTATGACAAAGGGGGGAGATGACCCATTTTATAAGTGTGTTTTAAGGTGACTTTTTGGTATACAAGGACTTTTCTATTTGGTGATTTTACCAATTTTCAACACTTTAAGTGTAAACAATTTAATTCGATCAACCTGTCCATATTAATGTATTGGACGTTAAATCTGTAATAAACAACAACATCCTAGTGTAGTAAAGACAGGTAAAACGTAATTTTGAACTTTAAAAAAACGAAACGAAATAGGATCTGTGTTTTAATCAGACTGACCCTTCTCGTCCTACACCACGTACAAGAGGAAAAGACAGTAGAGTACACACTCTTTCGAATAAAGTAGGAATATAAGTAAAAGAAAACGCCGAAGAATGTAATGCACTTGAAAAAAGTAGTCAACATTTGTTACTAAATTTGTTGAAAGGGGGACAACTCGACTATCGGGAGGATTTTCAATTTTATCTCTCTTGGCAACAACGTTAAGTCATATCCTAATGCTAATAGAGGCTTCATTTCAGTTGCACCCCCCCCCCCCCACACACACACACACATACGCACACCTTCAGTCCAGCATCACCATGTTTCACAATCAAATAGCAAATACGATTTAAATACCTTGACTATCCATTTGCACTATAACGCTTTTAATTCTTAGACGATCTCACCCCACCAGTTCCATCCCAAAGTGATTCATTTCCTGCTGTCATAGAGAGAAAACCACACCTTTATCTAGCTGACTTTAATTTTCTAGATGAGACGGATGCACTTGTTCAAAGTCATCGACATTTTTCCAAATTCATTTTCAGATTCTAACTAAAAAATTCTTAATCTGATTGGCGTAAGTATAAGAAAAGGGCACTTATGAAAGGTCGTAGTCATGGAGATTTCGAATAAAGTATTAACAATCTCCCGTTTTCACATTAATTAATAAGATAACACATTTTACAAGAAAGATATGCATAAGTGAAAAGTTTTATTTTTTAAAGGTTAATTTTTAAATTTCAGATTTTAAAATTCTGAAAACGTACAGAACACCTGGTTTATTATCGAAATAACCTGGAACAACGGCTTTTAATATCCTTTTCCATGCACCCTCCTTTACATATCTTTCCATTAATGGTTCAAAGTGGTCTCGAAGTTCCGTACTTAATCTTAAGACATATTCTGGTGTAGAAAAGCATGCATATCCACCTGAATAAAAGATTAGACTAAATATGGATTATAAAACATACAAGGACTAACCGCGGTCGCCAATTAAAAAATATATTCATAGATAGTCTACTTTGCCGTTTTATTGTTTATAGGATATAGCTAAGAAAAGGAATGAAATGTAGTTTTACGTCCTACTTCCTGCAGCAACCGGGATAATGACGACAGTACAAACGGCCCTTTATCGATTTAAATCAAGTCATGAAATTATGCATGTTTGTATTATAAAAGTACCACTAAGAATAAGCTAACTGGATAGATTTTACGTATTACCTGGTTTAACAACCCTAATAAATTCCTTTAATGCGATAGAAGGCATTGAACCGGGTGTTAATGCAGCAGAACTGACAAGACCATCATATTCATCTGAAATATAAAAACAATGTTAATGGCTAGAATATTAAAAAAAATCACCAAAATATGTATATTGTATATATTGTGTTATATATTGAATGTTCACTAATAGGCCTACATCTGCTTTACTCATTATTCGTTATCGTAACACACTGTGTTCTACATCATGTTAAATGAAGTGAAATGGGGTTTAACGTTGGTGCAGGACGGAGGGCCTGGCAAGGACAGCTGTCTAGTCTTTCGGGTATGACGAAAAACCGAGGTCCCTGGGCAGTTGGAATTCGATATAAGTGTAGGCCATAGTGCCGCTGCCCGGGCAAAATTTCCCTCATAACACACTGTATGGCGTATGCCCGTCTTCATTAGCCCTGTCGGAGCAGAACAGTAGGACGTTAAACCCCATTTCATTTCGATTTAACGTCCTGCACCGACTGGGCTAATGAAGACGGGTAATGTTAAATGGGTGGCCGTTTCACGCATACACATCTCGCATAATATTTCTATATAGAGCGTCGTTTGGCAAACGTCCAATTATTGCATCACACAATTTGGATGGAGTTCAAGCATATTATTATATCTTCAAACTGATTGAATCCCACAAACCTGTATATTCAAATACAACTGTTGACAGGTCTATTCGATGTCGACTTTATTCGTATATTAGATGGCAGTTCGATTCCTAAATTAGATGGCAACCAAAATAACATTTGCGTTTATGGTTAATGACGGCAGAGCTTTCTGGCTTGCATAGACTCATTGCAACTGTGATACATATGGTGGCTGGTTGGTATCATGTCGTAATGTCGTGATGTCGCCTTTCATAACGCGACAACCCGACAACCCGACATCACGACATTTCTACCCGACATTACGACAACCCGACAACCCGACATTTTTACCCGACATTACGACATTTTTAGTGTCGTAATGTCGGGTAAAAATGTCGTGGTTGTCGTGATGTCGGGTTGTCGGGTTGTCGCGTTATGAAAGGCGACATCCTGAGCATTCATTCCCGACAAGACCATAGCCTACCCCACCCCATTTTCAACAACTCCTCGGCTAATGACCGATCTCACAAGATCTCACAATTCTGAGTGTGAATCTACTTCCACTTGATCAACCATTTTCTTAATTGCCAGTCTTTTGTTATGAATATCATCGTGGCCGGTTATAACATTGATCATGGAAGTCGACAACTCGACAACCCGACATCACGACAACCCGACACCACGACACCACGACATTTTTACCCGACATCAGTGTCGTGATGTCGGGTAAAAATGTCGTGATGTCGGGTAGAAATGTCGTGATGTCGGGTTGTCGTGATGTCGTGTTGTCGGGTAGAAATGTCGTGATGTCGGGTTGTCGCGTTATGAAAGGCGACATCACGACATTACGACATGATACCAATCAGCCACCATAGATACATGATTTTTATTACAATTACACAAACCTGTTTTTATATCTAATCGTTTTTCATCAACAAAATCTACCACATATCTTCCATACAGATTCTTCTCCATAGCAACTTTCATCGATACTTCACTTGGATCAACTGCGTCAATTTGCTCAAATCCATGTTCCCGTAACTAACAATATAGTTCATAATTCATAATAAAATACAAACCTATTATTAAAATGATAACTATTTGTAACCTAAAAGTACATAAGATTTCAAATAATATTAACAGGGTATTGGGAAAATCCATTTAATTGAATTTAGTAAGCATAACACCAACTCTTGGATTCGATAAGTAAAACGCAGTCTGTGTTTTCTATTTCATACCGGATTAACACACAAAGATCTATGTTTATTACTCTATATAGTTCAATACAATGTTGTGCAAAGATGGAAGTGCAAACCGATTCTGGTAGCTTCGAATCTATGAAGATTATCCGATCTCTTTTACATATTATAGAAAATCGATATATTATGAGTATAGCATGATTCAGCAGTTTACGTTAATCCTTTTAATGATATCTCAAACGATACAATACGATATAATGGCGTATAGTAGGTAACCGACACCTGCTCAGTTACGCCATTACACAACATTGATTGATTCAAGATTGATTCACATACAGATATTAAAGTGCAAGCAGTTTTTATTTTGAAATATCTCCACATTATTTATCCAAGCGTATCATTTTTTGGATATGAGCATAAACAGATCTCTTCATAAAACTGCATGTCGGTAAGTTTATTTCGTATTTATGGTCCTTGTTTGTGATTGTGTCATGGTAATTGGTGAAAAATGATTTGTGGGACATGCAAAGGCTCTTACTCGCACATCTGACTTTATTTTCGTTCAAGTTTATACGAGTTACATGACATATCCATATCTATACTTAACAGCAAAAAAAAACGTTAGTACGATTTCAAAATCAGAGATGCACTTTAATCAAACCATTCTAGAAAACGACTTACTGAATAGATCAAAGTAATTTTTTGTGAACATTATGTTGGCACATTAGTGATTAATTCATCACAATTCCAAGACATTACGAGGTTTAGAGTCTGGACACAGTCTATACATCAGTATCCGGTGTGTCCACCGCTAGTGTCAATAACAGCGGCGCAGCGTCTGTACAATGAGTGGAACAGACGATTGATGAACGCCATTGGCACCTGGAACCACACTCTCTGAAAAGCCTGCCGCAATCCATCGGCTGTGTTTGGTCTCGGTGGACGTTATTAAGTCTCCTCTGAATTTTATCCCAAAGATGTTCAATCGGGTTTAAGTCCGGATTAAGGACTGGCAAGTGCATAACGTGCACCGTTCTGCTGTAGAAAGTCCCGAGTAACCCTGGTGGTGTGGGCACGGGCGTTGTCATGCTGGAAAACGTTGTTTCGATGACGTGCGAAATGTGGTATGACGCCGGGTCTGAGAGCTTGATCGATGTAGCGCACTGCTGTGATGCCGCCTCCTCACCCTGGACCAAGATTTTGGACCATCACAGGACCCATTCTCTGGTTCAGGCCGATTCCACCCCAAACCATTATGCTTGGACCTCCCCACCAGTCTCGTTCCATGACACATTGGTCAGAATAACGCTGGCCACGTCGACGCCATATTCTGGTCCTGTCATCTGCAGTTGATGCGCAATACCGACTCTCATCCGTGAACAGAGCAGTTCTTCATTGCCTGCATCGCCACTTCTGGTGTTTTGGGGCAAACTGTAGACGTTCACGTCGATGGGGAGGGTTGAGGTTCGGTCCACGGTAAGGTTTACGGCAATAGATGTTCTGTCTGGTGAGACGTCGGCGCACTGTATCGGTACTGATGGGTCGAGTCTTCCGTGTGTTCCCACTGTCTCAGATGCCTGTGTAAAGGAATTCTGCACGTGCTGTCGCACAACATGGCGGTCTTGTCGCCTTGTAGTAACCCTTGGTCTGCCTGTTCGGGGGCGATCATCCGTGGTGTTGGTAGCCCGAAAGCGTTGCTGAAGCCTGTAGATGGTCCGAACATTGACCTGTAAGGGATTGGCAACGGCTTGGGCAGTGTGGCCAGCGTCGAGTCTTCCAAGCACCTGGTTCCTCTGAGCTGTCGTGAGTTGTGGCATGCTGCTGGCGTTGTAGTGTGAATGATTTGGTAGGTTTTATGCAATGCGTCTATTCAGAGTAACATGCCAACCTGGCGTTTCTTGTGCTGCTTAGTATATTACACCTTTATTCTTGTCTGTGTTTTTTAATAGTTTATCCAGTGCAACTATAGGTTCTCTCTATCGTCATTACCTCACGGTGTCAATTTTTAAATTATCGATAATTTTAACTTCAGGATAAGATGTGTAGAACATGCATGTCTATAATATATCTTTTCTTGTCCGCCATATTTTGCAATACTTTGGGCGATATGGACACAAAGGCGCCCGTGTCGTTTGATAATAAGTCCTTTACATGGTTCTACAAAGTACCATTTTATTAAAATGAAATCAATATCTAATTAAAATATGAAAGCAATTCATCAGGAATGAATACACTAAACTTGTGATGAAATAATAATATTTCAAAATTATCATTATTTTTATGAATTCACACACATGGAAATCAATATAAATTGATGCCAACTTCAATGTATATCTTGTTTTGGGAATGCTTTGATAAGATTTTGATTCATTTGCATTTTAAACAAAATGATATTATTATCTACATAACAGATGAAATAAGATATGATTATTAAAAGGGATACTGCTAGAATAGTACGTGATTAGTAGTAGTATTGAGATTAGTAATAGTATATTGCACAGCAGTATCTATGCATGAGCAAGCTCAAAACTTAATCTAAAAACCATCACAGCCGTTACAACAACAACAAACAAACTTACTTTAATAGCAAGCAGTCCGGTACCGGCACCCATATCTACGATCCGAACCTTTTCTCTATTGTCAGGGAACATCAGCGCAGCTGTATCAGCAGTTAACTGTGGACCATAATAACCCCTAACTTCCATATCCTAACACAATACAAAGAATACATTTCAAAAGGTGTCATATCCATGGGGAGATTAGGGAGGGGTGGGGGCGTCTGCATTGCGTCAAGTCATGGAGTATAAGGTACATGGTCAGGTGTAGTGGTTTCGATATCAATTAAAATGAATTTGAGTTTAACGTTCAACTGTTCTGCTCTCACTGGGGTAATTAAAGATACATTATGGGAGATAAGATAAAGGGATGGCAGTTCTCGCTATAATAGTTAAAAACTAGATAGTGTAAAGGTAATTTGCTGAAAAGTTCAGTCAAATTGATCCACTATGAGCCGAGAAAGAGGCGGGTGAAATTTTTGCATAGTCTCGGTCATCATTACTAAAACCATTAATATAAACAGCATAGTCTCGATTATCCACTTTTTCTGATATAATTATCAACGGCCGTTATATAGGAATCTAATCCAGCCAACGTCGAAGGCTAGCCTTGACATCGAGAGTTTATTATGGTCTGGATAAGTTAATTAATGTCTAATTGATAATTTAGATAACATTTCAGGCCTAAAGAAAGACTTGTAATAAGAAGATTTTGCTCTTGCATAATGCATGTTTAAGACAGGCATGTGCTATACAGTGTGCTATGAGGGAAATTTTACCCGGGCGGCTGCAGAACGGTTTACTATTATCTCGAATTTCAGCTGTCAAGGGTTCTATTACGTGCACGTGAATGTGCGCATGGGACCTCGGTTTATCGTTCCATCCGAACGACTATGCGGTGTCCTTTGCCAGGCCATCCGTTCTGTACCACTGACAAGGGGGGGGGGGGCACATCTGAAAATCCTGATGAACTTTTTCGGCCAACACCGGGATCGAAGACAGGTTAGCGAGTCATCGCAGCTCCCAGGTTTCGATACTAGGCTTCACGTTACAAGGAGTAGCGTCGCATTCCTATTTTCGTGGATTTTCTCCGGCTCTCCGGTTTCCTTCCACTACTAAAGCACACTTGTACGTAAGAAGTTTATTGAAATAAATACTACATTTAAGTTACAAAATGCTCTAGGTAGTGATGCGTGGACGTTAAACCCAACACTCTCCGATATCATTGTATAATAATTTGAAATATAGCTTTAATACTTGTACATGTTCATACTAAACCAAAAATATACTGCATGAACCATCTGTTTTATATTTGTGTGAATATTTTATTGTGAAATCGATTTGTTTTAAAGCAACCGGGGAAATAACAAGCTGTAATGGTAATAGTTATTAGAATTGTTTATCTCCGATTTGTAAAGTAAATGACTGAAACAGTAATTTATTATTAAATGTTTTTTTGTTTACATTGGGCAACAACGATAATTTCGTAGGGTGTGGCCTTGCAAAGAATTGTTCCCACCCTCCAACCTTAAAATTTCAAATACACACAGTTCAAATCAGTACAAGAAAGAAATCGAAGCATGCTGATCTAGCAATGTAATCTGCTTAAATGCAAAAACACATTTTATATATATGAAATCGGCATACTGTTTTGTACCGACTGGGGTAATAAAGACGGGATTACGCCATACGCGGAGTTAAGAGGAAATTATGCCCGGGTAGCCCGACTACGGCCTACTTTTATATCGAATTGCAACTGTCAAGGGTTATTTTATGTGCACGCAAATGTGTACACGGGACCTCGGTTTACATCCCATCCGAACGACCATGCGTTGCCCTTGCCAGGCCTTCTTTCATGCACCACAGACAAGGGGTGATGGGGCACGCTGAAAATCCCCGTTAAACTTTCTCGATCAACACAGTGATCAAACATGGGTCCCCCAGGTTAACGAGCCAAAGTCTTACTCACTGCGCCACCGTGGCTTCCACCTTCCACATATATGTTACAGTATATGTATGAAACGTTACACGGTACATGCCATACGTACCGCTTCGTATAATTTCTTGTCAACCCATTCATCATATGACTTTGCTACTTCCTCTGCTGTTTTCTTTTCTCTTTCTTCAATACATTCTGGGTTGGTTCCAATAACATATTCAAATTCAAACTTCTTTCCACTGGATGTCATTTTAATAAAGCTCTAATCAATACCTACATTGAATCTACTCTAAACTGTTCTTCTTTCTGCCAACAGTAACTAACTATATAAACTATTTTTGACTCAGCCTAGATTCTACAGCGATATCGGTCATTTTCTATGTTATTCACACACGTACTGTACTCAGTGTGGTTGGTTCATTAAAATACTAATACGTTGTTTAATATGTGAATTAGTTCTCAACCGTGATAAGAATATTGAGGTGAATATAGATTTCGTGAGCTTGTATAAAAGGGCTTCAAAACATTATGCTCACCAATACTCTACTAGTGTAAACATCGTGACTAAAATATATAAATCAACAGCGGCGGCACCGGGATTTTACGCGTTTTGGAAATGAAATGGTTTTAAACGTCCTACTTTTGTGCTCTAACTGGGCTATGGAAAACGGGAATACGCCATTGTCCAGACAGCGGCTATGACATTCTCTTATTCCTATTTCAAACTGTCAATGGATATTTTACGTACACCTCATAGTATACACGGGGTCTCGATTCCTGCACAGTCATAAGTAACTTCCGCGACCATCACCGGGATCGAACCCGGGAGCCCCATATTAGCGAGCAAGCGCCTTACTCACTGAGCCAGTGCGTATTCAAAAAGTAAAAAAAAAAAAAACCGACCAAAATCTGTAGATTTGTATCATTGTTATTGTGTTGAACAACGGGAATTACTGAATATTCTAACTCATTCATTTGAAGATTCATAACAGTAACATGTATACTGATCTACTGTTTTAGTTATATCGGTTACATTTTAATATTTAATCTCTGTAACTTCATTTCAACACTGTAATAGTTAACTGAAATCAATACCAAACAGACGCAACCTTGTCCTTATAAAATAACAAATACACTGAACTTAGTTCACATTCAATATCATTGTTCTATAACTCAATCGAAAACTGACGCGAGACCGACAACTAACTTTTAACCTGTATTTCAGTCCACATTATATTCGGTGTAACAAAATGTATATTTTTTACACGTTATTTGGTTATCAAAAAATGTTTAATTTGTAGAAACTAAAATACTAATTGCCCCAGCCAGGTTTGAAGAAATAATATTGCCTGGATAATCGGCTTATAATTACGCCAGTTACATCGATTAACCAGACACTGGACATGACGCACGTGGACAAATCGCTCGTGGGTAATAAAGATGAAAAACCTTCGTTTGGGGGTACGGTTCTCTTACAGAACTACTAAGTTTAACTAATTGCATAATAGTTATTGCCTGAAAATGTCAACTTTTGAATATAAAATGTAAACAGATGCTCGCCAAACTAATCACAAATTAATTAACTCCACTTAAAATCACCACCCCCTCTCCGTTTTACTGCTGCTTAAACTTATCCACAATCTTTGGACATATTTTATCTTCCCACTGATCAGGAGTGAATATTCGCTAGGCCGCTTTAATCACTGATGGGGATGCCATCGGTGAGGGTTAATGAGCTTACAATATTAACCTTTATCTTTGTGTAAATTAAATTCCTATTTATTGTAAAGGGGTATATATAGTGAGTAAAGGGCACCATTCTGTCCGGACCAGTTAACGCAACAACGTCTTATGTAAACAATGCACGCGTCACAGAGCCAATGATCGACGCCCCATGAAGTGACGACACCTGTAGAAGACATACTTGAACTTAATAAAGGTACTCGTCTACGATATCACCCTTGGTGGAAGTGGACGTAAAACTCCAGGAACGAACGAGGTATAAGAAGGCTCCACAATACCTCTGTGAAACAGGTCAATTTATCTTTTAGGTTATCGGTTTGTTTTGATGTAGTTTTCAGATTGTATTTGTCTAGATGTAATCTTAATAGGCCACATCGAATAACATCAAACTTTATTGTTTAATCAGCCCGTTTTCCAATTAGATAATACAGATATATATGTTGGCTACAAATTTCTAATTATCTTACACACTTGTATGTACGTACAGCTGTATCCAATCTTTGATTATGAATGTCACGAGGAAACGTGTGATAACGTATACTTTGACATTAGTGTATAAGTCTGTTACCACCACACCTATATCAATTCAAAATAACCCAGATGTGATGTTAAATCAATTTAAAAAGTTTGTGTCCATAACACACAATATCAACATTTCGCAAATGTTTATTAATACTGCACACCTTTGCTGGTATTAATTGACTTGTGAACTTAGAAAGACACTACTCAATGCTTCCAATGAACGCCCATCAGGTGGAGTCGAACCACTCTGACGCTAATCAGCTACAGGTTTGAAGCCTGCACCCCAGACCCCTGAGGCTCAGACGGGCAATCTAAACACGAACCCCTGTGGCTTTTAAACCTGCTAACGTTTAATCTTAAAAAAATAATGGTAGCGGGAGAAATCAATTTAATTACATATAACGTATGTTATAAAATTTTATTTCGACAATATGACTAAAGTTCGATTAAATATAATGAGGCTAACTAATTATTACAATTTTGGTTTGATTAAGGTTTCGTATAATATGGACATAGTAGATTTATATGTTCAAAATCATGAAATATGCATTTGTTGGAAATGTACACTCCCTTTTATTGCATGAAAAGCTTTTAATATTTTTCTTAAAACATTTGTTCTGTGAATTATTGATTTGGTGTCAAGGGGTCAAAGAATTAATGTTTCCCACAAAATGGATTTTCTTGGTTTTTTTTTAAACTTTTCCAGTTTCTGTAGCTTTTGTCTTAGACTGGTTAGACGCGACATTGCGAACATTTATTGTGGCGACTATACTTACAATTATAGTATATGATCATTTATATTCATGCAACAGATTATTTAGTGACTTGTACTTAATTGCAGAATTCTTCAAAAACGGCACAAAACCCTACACGTGTCGAACACGAGACATTTTAAAGGATAATACACAAGCGCGTAACCTATAAAGTAGGCACAAAATGTACATAAAACGGTAATCTTATGCCGACTACTGCGACTAGTTTCAATTTCCGAGTTTAGTTATTAATATTAGGAACCTATATCCGATTAAAATTGTAATTCTGCGTCAGAATACAACTGTTTTGAGAAAATCGTTGATTGAAGGGAGGCAACTCCAGAAATCCTGCTGGAGGCAGACCACCATTAATTTCCCCATTGACTTCAATGTTAATTCTGGCCTCTTTGCCCACCTCCAACTTTTCCCCAAATTTTCGTTGGGCTGAATGCTTTTCACTACAGACAGAGGAACAAATGGTCATGTCTTTGCACTAAAATTTGTATGAGGTTGACCACCAAAATTTTGAGATACACAAACTTGAAGAAGCATACTAAAAACATGTAACTAGTTGCCGTACATATCGCCGTAGCTAACCTGATAACCCTCTTATCCTTCCGCCTCAAAATCATGAATATTTACCAAAACCTGGCAGAAAATGTTAATTCAAACCCTCTTCGTCCATTCTAGACCAGAAAATCAACACAAATGGGCATGCAAAAGGGGAGAAAAGAGAGAGAGAGAGAATTGCTATAAATAGACGAACTACAATTCGTGGGTACTGAGATGATGAAATTTAATGGTGGTCTGCCTCCTGCTGGGCTAAGACTAGTAATTATTTCACCCTATTTCATGATGAGTAATAGACAACTTTTCCCTTAATTTTTTTTCTCTCCTCTTCCTGCATTTTTGGTTGACTTTTTGGTTCAGAATTGGAGAAAAGGGATCAAATTTGCAATTTCACATCAGTTTTGTTGGGCAATACTGGTGATATTACAGCGGAGGGATAGGGGGTGTAAATTGTCTTCCTGTAGAACAATCATTGTGTCGGAAGTGAGATTTTGACCCCAGTCAACATCAAATCACAGTAGCAAAAAGGCTGAATGGTCAAGCCCCTACAAAATTATGATGTGAAGATTGCCAAATGCGGTCCCCTATTTGGAACGGAATGTTGAGCAAAAAGCTGCAGCCTGTGATCTTACAGCCATTTAACATTGGAGTCAATGGGCAAATTTGCCTTCCTCTGCTAGTTCGACGAACAATACATTTCTTCATTTTCACGGATCACTGATCATGGCCTAAGACCATAAATGGTCTCCTTAGTCTCGTCTGCAGTATCGCGTAGTCGGCTCTCCTAGGTCTTGTCTGCGATCTCACTTTAGTGGAGGCAGATGTTAAAGAACCAAATCCAGCCAGCTGGGTCAGTGATGTTTAAAGTGATATGCTGATGGGTTTGAGCATTGCTAGAGACATCCATTATAGACCAATAGCAGCAAAAATGACTACATAGTTTTCCATTAGGTTATATAGCTATAGACCACCCTAGGTTTTTGTTAAGATTTTGTTTCAATGGCATTTAGTAATTGAACTGGAGTATACAGGTCACAATTCTATGGAATACAATTACTGCTTTTTACTGAGCGACGTTTTGACTAGGCTTCTCTAGTCATTATCAAGCAATGCTAACATATGAAAATATGACAAGACAATATATACACGTACACATCAATACTTGGTTAATGCTGACCAACCAGAGATAAGGATTATAAAGTTTAACTCTAATAACAACATTCAATAAGACCAATTTACCTGAAATTAACACAAATTGATTAATTGATTAATGGATCAAAGAAGAAGAAATTTGACAAAATGTGATCAACGACCACTTTATCTGAAATAAACCCAAATGATTAATGAATAGCTGGTTGTGGAGTATTTATAATGATTTGATCAGATTTTAATAATCACAACACCCTAAAAAGATCAAATTTGATTGGCATTATAACGAAAAATGTTGATATATGCATGTTGTTGTAAGTGATTCCACTAATATACGAAAAACCCTTCGACTGCTATTACATAGGAAATGAAATGAAATGAAATGGGGTTTAACGTCCTACTGTTCTGCTCCTAACCTGGGCTAATGAAGACGGGCATACGCCATACAGTGTGCTATGAGGGAAATTTTGCCCGGACAGCGGCACTACGGCCTACTCTTATATCGAATTCCAACTGCCAAGGGATCTTTTACGTGCACGCCAATGTGTACACGGGACCTCGGTTTTTCGTCACACCCGAACGACTAGACAGCTTTCCTTGTCAGCCCCTCCGTCCTGCATCACTGACAAGGGAGAACCACGCCGAAAAATCTGGATGAACTTTCTCGGCCAATGCAGGGATCGAACACCCGACCTCCAGGCTAGCGAGCTAGCGTCTTACCCACATAGCCACGTGATCCCCCTATTACATAGGGGTATACGGTATACGCGAATACTTGTGTTAGAACAACAGGAATTTGCTTAACGGTTTAGATCGGACTATACTCGTATACAGGAGGCACGCTATACGCGTTTACATGGTATCATGCATGTTGGTTTTTTTCGGGGTATACTTGCTGCAGGGAGAAGTAAATTCCATGAGGTGAGTAGAAAATGGGGCATTTGTGTTGTAAAAAGTCCGAATTAAAAGTTCTGAACATTGATGGACAGGTGGAACAACATATGGCAACCTCTTGCTCAAAAGTAGGCGTGAGCTTCATCATGGAAAACTTGAGATTCAAAAAGCTGGAAGTAGAGACAAGTAAACATGCAACCCAACTTTCCGCCCTACATTTCAACCTAACCAACCTCTTAACTCTCGTATCCCTGCGCCTCAAAATCATCATTAGGTTCTTGTACTCGGAGACTCTACATTTTCCACTGTTTTATTTCTATCAGATCTCGATGAATTCGAATTCACATTCATGGAGTTATTTCCCTTGAGTCGATGTTCAATATGTTCATGGTTGTGTGACCCTCCCTCAGCTGACACCGAAATCGATCCCATGAACTTCCTGGTAAGTGAGTCATCACCTTACTGAGTAACCGTGATGGACACCAGGACCCTGTTTCACGAAATTTTAACTTCAGATAAAATCCAAATTTTAGTAGATACTTCAATTTTGATTGGCTAAGCACTAAAATCAATCTAATATTATCCAATCAAATTACTAAAATTTGGATTTTATCTTAGTTAAAATTTCATGAAACAGGGTCCAGAATGCGAAAGAAAATGGGGTTTAACGTGCTATTGTTCTTCTCCGACTGGGTAATCGAGACGGGCTTACGCCATCCAATATGCTACGAGGGAAATTTTGCCAAGACAGTGGTGCTAAGGCCTGCTCTTATATCTAATTCCAACTGCCCAGCGTTCTTTTAAGTGCACACCAATGTGTACGCAAGACCTCGGTTTTTCGTCCGATTCGAATGACTAATCGTTGTCCCTTGCCCGACCTCTCTGTTAGCGAGCCAACGTCTCACCTACTAAGCAATCTGAAAGACATGTGGACATAAACCCCCTTGTTCATAGGAATAATGGGCTTATGGAGAAAAAGCAAAAAATATTATCTTATTTTAATTCATAAAAATGATCGTTTTATTGACAATAGTTAACAATATTTATAGATACATTATTATTAGTTAAAGATACATAATAATATGATGTAATTAATTAGCTCTCAGTAAATAAAGATAAAAATTATCGTTTTATTGACAATAGTTAACAATATTTATAGATTGTTAAATATACATTTAATTAGATCTCAGAAAGATAAAAAAAAAATGATCGTTTCATTGACAATAGTTAACAATATTTATAGATATTATTATTAGTTAAAGATACATTATTGGAGATACATTATTGGAGATTACGTAAAGAGTTGGCGTTCTCACAGTAATAGTTAAAAACTAGATAATGTAAAGGGAATTTGCTGAAAATTTCAGTCAAATTGATCCACTCTGAACCGATAATTTAGCGATTGAATATTCGACCTAGCCTCGACCATCATTACTAAAGTCGATACGATGAAAAAACATAGTCTCGATTATCCAGTTCATGAAATAAATCATGAATGGAAGTTGAGCAGCAAATCGGACCCTAATCCAGTAAATATTGCAGGCTAGTGATGACTTCGAGAGTTGTTTATGGTCTGAATAAGTTAATTAATGTCTAATTAATAATTTAGATAACATTTTAGGCCTAAAGAAAGATTTGCAATAGGCAGATTTAGCTCTTGCATAATGTATGTTGAAATATATATATATCTAATTAATTAGATCTTCAGGTTCTCAGTAAATACAGATAAAATGGTTAAAACAAAAGATTTCAATTGATTTTTGTTTCATAGCTCAACTTCTGACTTTAAAACTTTGAAGACATACAATAAACCTGGTTTATGATCAAAATAACATGGTATAACTGTTCTCAGGACGTTTTCCCAGGCACCCTCTTGTACATACTTTTCCATTAAAGGCTCAAAATTGTCCCGATGATCTTTACTTAATCGAATTATAAATTCAGGTGCACAGAAACATACATATCCACCTGAATAATACAAGAAAATATGTGAGAAAGCTGTATTGAGAATATGGAGAGGCTTAAAAAGGTAAATCTCTATTCATTGGAACCTAAAATGACGAAAATGGGTTAAAAAGTTGAATATGTAATATGAGTATACATACACTGATTTACATTCATTCATGTTATAAATCTTGCATTGTAATTTCTAATCAGTTTTGTTTGTCGAAATATGTGAGCAGTCCAAATAGAACGACAATCGCTCGCGCCTGGTTCGCCCCGTCTACATCGGAAGTAGGATCCAATATTATTAACGGTAAGATAAGAACATCAATATTGATTGGCATGGGCCAATAAAGACTCTGAATAATAGTGAATTAGAACTTTACAGTCTTAAAAGCCACTTTGGTCTGCCTGATTTTAAAATGTTGGGTCTGTTTATAAAAGAAATATTTAGATGAAATTATCGTGTATTCCACTATACAACAAACCGATTTCTTGTTAATACTTGGAAACAAATTTGAATCATGTCGAATTCATCCAATCACTAATTGAAATAAACATCAAATAACTCGGTATAACATTTTATTTGTACTTTTAAATATACCAGGTGGGCAAATGATTTTCATTAAATAAACGTTTAGTTGGGTAGTTATTAATATCATTATACCTGGTTTCACAACTCTGATAAATTCTCGTAAAGCTATGGAAGGCATTAGACCTGGTGTAAATGCCCCAGCACAAACTAGACCATCATAGTCATCTGAAATATAAAGCACGGCCAGGGCCCTGTTTCACAAAAACTTAAATCTCCTTAAAATCGTCTTAAACTAAAATTCGATCCTAACTTAAGATAGATGCGTTTCACAAAATGATTTTAAGCATTTAAGATAAAATCCACTAAAATAATATTGTAAGTTAAAATTGTATCTTAACTTAAAAAGATACGCTTCACAAAACTATTTTAGGGACAATTTTAATTAAAATCAATTTTAACTTAGGACAGCCGTCACCCTCTAGTAACTTCAGACCTGGAATTTTGGTGCATCAATACCAATTTAATGAATAAATTCAACCATGATTTTCGGTTGAAGTGTTGAAATTTGGTTGATGGACTTCCGTGTCACTTTGCTAAATTCCATTTTGGCGGCCGTAGTTATTTCATTGAAATTGAGCGCATCGGGGAAACCTTCATAACTCCTGAAGAGATCGACCTATGGATATGGAATGTAGCTCACAATGTTCGCAAGAAAATGCTACACCTGCTGCTATATGATACTTGTTGTTGAATGAATCATATATTTTCCAAATCAACAGATTATTCTGGAAAAAGCAACCTTTTCATGATTTATTTTATAAGTTTACTACCAAATCATGTTCAGAGTAATTTTAGCCAAATTATGTGTGTGGTCTTCTTAAGTTATTCATTTAGCATAAATAAATACGCCCAGTGGTCCTCCCTGTACAGCAGCGGTGGCCGCAAACTCAACAAAAGTCTTAAGTAGACTGTCAAATTTAAAATTTTGAACGTCGGCAAGGCAGGGCACCAACTTAGTGAACGTTTAGCTAATGTGTCACAATCGAAACGATATTTTGGGACGGGTTGTTTCTGTGTCAAAATTTGTCCCTGAAGACAATTTTGAGATTATGTCTCTTCTGTGACGTACTTTTCAGTTGGGGTTCTGTCCGATTTCCAAAATTGCCGCCAAAATTTAACGAAAAACGAATTTCTAGTTAGGGTTGGTGAGTATCACGCAAGGTAAGGCTTGTGATATATCATATATAAGGTTTTCGTAGCCACTGAATTTAAAATTGATCTCTAAAAATGAATTATTTATTGGAATTTACGATGAAACGGAAATGTTTGTTCCGCACAGGAATTAGTTTAAAAGGGACAAATACAATTTGTAGAACCAGATATTTGATGTTAGTGAAGCCATTTTTTTCCAGGACACCTGTTTCACACAAAATCTTATTTTCTATCCAGACGGACCTTCAGTATAATAATCTATCTGCATACAAAGTTTATGAAAATACACATTCAAACAGTATTTAAGATGGTCTACCACCTGTAGGACTCTCCCACCAACTTAACAATATATTGTTTATTGGAATTTTCGATTAAACGTAAACTTTCGTGTAGCTGTAAAATACTCGACTAATATAGCAGTTGTTAATTTGTAACATGTTTAACATCATATCTTTCTACGCGAATTAACAATAAATTGTTTATTCTATAAAACGGAAACATTTGTTGTACTTGTAAAATAAATACCAATTGTATATATGATAAGTTAAAGTCTACCATGTAATACGGAAATTTGCAACACGTTTATTCACCATATCTTTCTACATGACCAACAATAAAGTGTTCATTGGATAAAAAGGAAACATTTTTTTTATATAACTGTAAAATAAGATGTGTCATTTTTAGCATTATCATTAACATCATTTTCAGCATTAATTTTTGAGTTTTTATTCAAGTCATAATCAACTCTTGATGACATCGGATTTCTCCGATATTAAATAGATTAGAACGGTTCAGCCATATTTTGATTTAATCTAAAAATGGAGGAGCGAGTACAGTGGTTGGAATTATTGCACGCGTCTTGCCAAACCTTCAAAGGCTAATATCTTCGCTTGCAATAGAGTAATTTGAATGAAATTGTTAAATTATTCATTTTACATTATCTATTTTAGAACTATTGTAGCAGTAATGGCTAGCTCTTTATCTAAACCTTACGTAATGTATCTTTAATTGTAAGCTCAGCAACACTGAGCACCCTTTCACTTGGATAGTACATGTCATATCAAACAATGAAATGACTATTATCTGACAAATTGGCCATTTTAGGAAATTTGGTCGCCATTTTGAATTTCCGCCATCGTGGATTTTGGACACTCATAATAGAGATTATTTTTTATGATCACTTTAGTTTACCAAATAGAATAATTTGGCTTATATGGGTCTGAACACGATTTGTTAATTAGTAAACTTATGAACAGACATGAAAAAAAAATCGAAAATGTTGCTTTTTTTCAGATTAATCTTTTATTTTACAACTGATAGTATTGACTTAACGACATATATCATTTACCAAGAGATGCAGCATTATATTATGAACATTTTGAGCTATATTATATATCCATAGGTGAATCTGTTGAGGAGTTATGAAGGCTTTCCCGACTCGCACTATTTCAAATAAGAAAAAAAACGACGGTCATTTTTAACGATGGCCGCCAAATTGACATTTGGCAAAGTGACCCGAAAGTCCATCAACCAATTTTGGACATTTTAGACCTAAGGCTAACTGAAAATCATAGTTAAACCAATTCATCAAATTGTTATTGAATATCTCCCTGTCACATGGAGTATTTGTAATTTACATAAAACCCTATTATTTTTGTAATAAATATAAAATACAATTATGTTATTCAGTTATATTGTCCAGAGATACATAACATAGTTATATTTGTCAGAAATTAAAAACATGGTTATATTCGCCAGAAAAAGAAAACCTGGAATTATATATAAAACACAGTTGGGGTTTATTAAGAAATATAAAACTCGGTTATTTTTGTTACAATTATAAAGCATAGTTATATTCGTCACTTATATTGGCCAGAAATATGAAATACAGTTATATTTTTCAGAAATAAGAAAAGCAGTTATATTTTTCAGAAATACAGAGAAAAAACACATGAAATTACAAAATACATTCATGTATATGTGTTTTAGATTTAGCGAGGGAACTATTTAGTACATGTAGTTGATTAGATAAAGAAAGAGAGCTATTTTGTACTATAGATTAGATATTGCCAGCTATTTAGTACTATAGATTAGTTAGAGACAGTTGGCTATTTAGAACTATTTAGAACTATTTAGTATTCGATAGAGAGGGAGTTGGCTATTTTGATAGAGTCAGCCATTTAGTACTACAGATTAGATAGAGAGTTGGTTATTTAGAACTATAAATTAGATAGAGTCAGCTATTTAGTACTATAGATGAGAGAGAGAGAGAGAGAGAGAGTTGGCTATTTAGTACTATAGATTAGATATAGAGAGAGTTGACTATGTAGAACTATAATAGAGAGAGCTGGCTATTTAAAACTATAGATTGGATTGACGATATTACCTGTCTTGATATCTAATCTTCGGTCATCAACAAAATCTAATATATAGTTTTCATATAAACCTCTATCCATAGCAACTTTCTTGGCTGCGGAACAAGGGTCTACGGCATCAATGTGTTTAAATCCATGTTTTCTCATCTAAAATAAAAAGTTGTGTATACGATGAAAGTAAAGGCACATGTGTTATAAATCATTAATACATTTCAAATCAGTCCGTCCAAAACTATAGCCTATATCGCGTCCACAGGGTTTCAAACAAGTTTCAAGATATTTGGACAGACCCGAAGGTAGCTTTTGTACATTTCAAGTAAAATCAATGGCCATAACTCTAAAGACAGCTTCTTATTACCACCGCGCCACACCAAATTTGAAAAAAACCCATTAAAATATAGCCTCTATAATGCTTTAACGAAATTGTCTGCAAATGGGAAGAAACTCGGGAAATGCAGGTCGCAGAACGCCGAGTATCGATAAGATTTATTCTGTCATGAACCCAGTGCTTCACACTAAATATGAAGACAACCCATTAAAACATGTAGCCACTATGCGTTAACAATATTTTCGGAAATGGGGAAGTAACTCCGGAACTAAAGGTCGGGGAACATTGAATATCGACAGGGCGTTTCCTCTCATGACCCCAGGGCTTCACACCAGATCTGAAAAAAACATTATCGAGTTAGCAAGGTTTCTGGACGGGGTGGGGTGGGGTGGAGGAGAGTCGCGGAAATGAAATGAAATGAAATGGGGTTTAACGTCCTACTGTTCTGCTCCTATACACGGGACCTCGGTTTTTCGTCTCATCCGAAGGACTAGACAGCTGCCTTTGAGGTGCTCAAAATCGATATGGTTCGTAGTCATTATCGCCTTAATAAGCCAATTGTTGACGTACCGCCGGACATTTGTGATTACATAATACGCCCACACTGATATGTGGGTGTATAAATGTAATCTAATTAAGCAATGAAAATTATTATATACAAATCTATATTATGATCGAAAGATCTAAAAAAAAGAAAGAGAAAAGCTGAAAAACGCGAATCTGTCACTCGTTTTAGATTGAATTACCTGTCCCCGAAGGGTCACACCCGATCACGAGTCTTTTGGTTCTTCGGGTTTTCACCAGCATCAACCCAATCTGTGAAACATGTTTTAATTATTATCAGGCAAATAAAAATATGTTATGATAATAATGGTTATAATTAGGCTATAATAAAATTAATTAAAATGGTGTTTAACATTCGGAACCAACCGGGCTAATCAAGACGGTCGACAGATTAACCCTTTGGCTAGAAACGAAGTTTAAAAAGAATGAAATAAATTTCGTTCATATTTGGCGTTCGTAGTTTCCCATAGTTTCCCATAAATAAAAAATATATATGACACAGAAGAAATCCAATGCAAGACAATCCGATCTGATGTTTACTTAACTCTTAAAGAAATAAATTCAAGTGTCGACAAACCACAGATAAAATCCAGTTATAAAACTAGCTACTGCGGTATTTTCATAAATATTAGGGGACAAACTCTTTTAGTAACTTTTGGAAATGTATTAATAACCCAGGTTATAATGGATACAGAATTTGAATATACAAATTTACCTTACAAAAGCGATCAATTATTAATTATTAATATGATTTAAATTTATCATTTTTAATCGAATTGTTATTATAAGAACTAAGAGACTGTCATGTGCTATTTGTAAAAAGCTATGAGTATCAAGTATTAGTGATTTAGATTTTCAATTTAATTGAAATTTTCTTTAATATTAGAACTAAGGGAACATCATTAAAACCAAGGGAACAACATCATACGGTATTTGAAGAAAGGGTCAAATTCTTTAAAAGCAAATATATGATTTTAAATGAGTATCTCTCCTAATATAACCATGAACATGAAATAAGTTCGCAGCCTATGAAAGGTTTGATTTTAAGGTCTAATGCTCAGGGCCCTGTTGCACAAAATTTCAGCTAAAGATAAAATCCAAATTTTAGTAGATACTTCAATTTTGATTGACTAAGCACTAAAATCAATCGTATATTATCCAATCAAATTACTAAAATTTGGATTTTATCTTAGTTAAAATTTCGTGAAACAGGCCCCAGCACCGTATATGGACGGAGAAAACCAACTGCATTTGTATACTCTACGTATTAGTGTTATTTAATTTAAAAATGAAATTATAGCATATGACGTGAAATAAAGAATCATAAAATTGAATATTAGAGGAATTTAAACAGTACTTAAATTAACATTCTTTTTTTAAAATAAGGGGGGAGAAATATTTAACGATTTGATGTATTATATTCTGAACGATAACCATCGCAATAGTATAGATGTTGTTATTAGGGCATTCGGCTTATTAAAACAAAACAAAACTGATAAAAGTACATGTAGTGGTATACTGATGTTTTCTTAAGTAAGATTATGAAAAACTTTCTGTCAACTGTTAATTATAGTTTTAGTGTTGGACACCGGTTCCAAACCCAAAAATTAAGCATTATATCAGGAGACAAGCCATCTGGGTTTATTTTAAAAATTAGCGCCCCTTAAGGCTTCTAAATATAACTTACTAGCAGGATACCCGGCTTCGCTCGGGGGTCATAACTCCGAAACCGGAAGTGGTAGACTAACGCCACCTGGCCTATGTTACTCCCCGGTCGGAGCTACCCCTATACCCCAAATTTCAAACTCGGGGCAGACCTAGTGTAGCCGCCAACCCCCGAACAGACAGACAGACAGATACCCGGCTTCGCTCGGGGGTCATAACTCCGAAACCGGAAGTGGTAGACTAAAGCCACCTGGCCTATGTTACTCCCCGGTCCGAGCTACACCTATACCCCAAATTTCAGACTCGGGGCAGACCTAGTGAAGCCGCCAACCCCGAACAGACAGACAGACAAACAGACATACGACAGTCACAAATATATATATATAGATGGAATACTGTCCCCATATTATGCGTTCTATAAAACACAGGTTACTGCTATTAAGAACACTATTGTCATGTAACAGAATGAAAGTTTATATTGGAAAACATTCTGCTTTGTATTAAAACAATAGTCGACCTTATTAGAACACTGTAGTAAAAGCATCCGACAAGGGGTCACGAGAGCAAATTGAGAACACTTAACACGTCTTGTTCTAAGTAACAGTTTGTTCTGAATAGAAACGGGGTTTAATGTCCACTCGACAAAAACCAAGTCATTTCAGGACCAACACATGGTTCAGCTATATTTTACTAATTGTTTGCGCGTAATGATCTTTAACAGTGGGTGGAAAGGTTGGACACGCGATCCTACCCCTTAGCACTCCACTTGACCCAATAACAGATCTTTTGATCTAAAGAGCGTTAAAGCCGCCCCCCCCCCCTCCTCCCACCAAGCAGTTTAATCATTTCGTTCTTCCGCCAGAGACTGGAGATAACGCATTACGCCCTTTTCGCTTGACTATACGTCGTTCCTTGCGGCCCTCCGTTCCGCACCACTGACATTAGTGACAAGGGGAGTCACGCCGTAAAATCCCGATAAACTTTCACGGCCAACAAAAGGAGATCGAATCCGGGACCTCAAGGTTAGCGAGCCAGCGTCCCACCTACTGTGCCACCGCGGCTCACCAAATAAAATTGTCCGTTTTTGAAATTTCATAAATCTTTCCAAAAATTGTTAACCGGTTTTATTCAGTAAAATGTGGTCTCATCTTTTAACTTAAAGTGTTTCAAATATATTCAAATTCTACGGCATATTTCTAAACAAGAAAAAACTTACCCCAGCAGCAATCAGTCCGGTACCAGCAGCCATGTCTACGATTCGAACATTGTCTCTACGTTCTGGGAACATGAGAGCAGCTGTATCAGCAGTTAACTGAGGACCATAATAACTCCTAGCTTCCATATCCTTTTATATAATATAATTAAATGAATTGGTACACGAATCGCGTGCCAGAATGCTTCCGAGCGCCATTTGTAATGAAGCGACTCGATGAACGAGGCTGACATACCCTACAGGAGAATACTATCGGTGTAGACTGAAATAACCAGACGTCAAAGACTGCCATCCAATTTGGACTCTTCGCGTATTTCGCTGAACATAACTGATTAGAAATTTCAGTTAAAACAGAGACGATTGAATGTAAATCAGTTTACATACATTCATATTACATTATTATATGCGTTGTGACGTATCTGTGTCCAATTCTAGGTGCCAAAAAAGAGATTTAGATACAACTTCCGATTTCGTAGAGATGCTACTTATTGTTCATGCAGGCTATACCCGTGCTACGCCGGGTCAACTGCTAGCAGATTATTAAACATGCATTATGCAAGAGCTAAATCTGATTATTGCAAGTCTTAATTTAGGCTTCAGATGTTATAGAAATTATAAATTAGATCTTTATTTAAACAACAAGACCAAAATCAACTCTGTAGACCCACGGATGGCTCGGCTACAGCTCGGATTTAAATAGGATTTCACTAATTGATTAAATCAAATAAGGGGTAACCTGATGAAAATACGTCAGTTAGATCGAGGCTAAATGATAGAGTGTACTTAGCGAGGCCGCTGTAAAGCGTTTCCGTATGCCATTGAAAACTTTACTTGATAATCGAGATATGTAGGTGGAGTTAACGCCTGTCAATCAAACGATCGGCGAAGGTGAAGACGCATTTCGCTACCATTTTTAGTCAAATATTACAACGATGATAACTATGTTCAGAATAAAGTAATTTGACTGAATTTTTCAATATATTCTTCTTTCATCATCTACTTTTGAACTGTTATAGCAACAATGGCCAACTCTCTATAAAAAATCTCCCATAATGTATCTTTAACTAGACATTTAGTCACATGCCAAGCCCATAGATGATCGATTGCCAGAGATTTACATGGATTAGAACGCCCGCGAGATTTTAAAATTTAACAATAAAATGGATAGTGCAGATTTAGTCTCGTTTGTCCAGTTCCGTTGCTTCGATAGTAATCTAATCTGCTCAAAACTTCGCTCCGAATAAAGTAATTTGAATGAATTTTCGATATTATTTATTATCTATTTTTTTAACTATTATAGCGAGAACGACCATCTGTTGATCTAAATCTTACATAATGCGTCGTTATTAAATAATAGTTTCTATTGATGACAATTAACAGTCTGGTTATATACATACCGATTCATATGTATTTTTCTCCACCCATTCATCATATGTATTAACCATCTCATCTTGTGTTATTGATTCCCTATTTTCAATACATTCTTTCTTTGATGTGAAGATATGTTCAAACTCAGATACCTTCTTTGGATTTGTGGATGCCATTTTCAAAAAAGAAGGCCCAAAAGAGTAATGTTTAAACTAACGGTTATCTATCTTTCTGCTGATCAGCAAATGCTAATTGTTTTATTGTCTCGACAATATTTATAGTAAAGATAGTCAGTAGATATGTAACTTGAAACACATATGATAAGGGTTAGGTCACGATAAAAAAATGAACTACATATGGGTCCAAATCGTGTACGCTATTGAATTTTTTATGTACTCTAATGCGTTTAACGTCCTGCTGTTCTGCACCGACTGAGCTAGTAAAAACCTGATTATGCCATACAGTGTGCTATTAGGGAAATATTGTCCGGACAGCGGCACTACGGCCTACTCTTATTTTGAATACCAACCGTCAACGGTTCTTATACGTGCCACCCCCAACCCCCTATGTATACAGGGGACCTCGGTGTTTCGTCCCACCCGAACGACTATATATTACGTTGTACCTTGACAGACTCTCCTTCCACCAACACTGACAATACAGGGATCGAACACGGGACCAATAGGGTAGGGAGTCAGCCTCTTACTCACTGAGCCACCGCGGCAACGGGAGTTATTGACCAAAACAGTTGAAAATCAATAGTGTTCTCCTGGTGTAATAATGTTGATAATTCATTATATTTTTCTGGACATTTTCAATTCAAGATTTTAACTTCAAGACTTTTTGAAACGTAGAAAATATTTTCATAAGAGTTCAAATTCCAGATTTTTTTTCTAGATACTTTCAGAAAGCAATGAATTGATTTCTTTGTCGTGTAAAATTAAGAAATTATTTTTTAATTTTAATATTTAATGATATATAACAGTTACCGATAAAACGCCGAAAATGAAACATAAAGTCATTTTTTTGTTTAAAATGTTGATTTTGTGCATGAAATGTTGACATAAGAATGTAGAAACAAGAATCATTAGTTTAGAATGTTGCGTTCGTGTCTAAAATGTTCAAACTGGAATGTAGAAACAAGAATCATGAATATTGTCCCATTTGGTCTTCCATAGGGATTGGGGATTAATGATTCTCATACCTTATGCCTAATACAATTAAATTATCTTAATTTTATTTGGACTCTTATCTGATCTACAACTGGGGCACTCTCAGCTCGACTGGGGCAACTCTCAAGTCGACGTCGATGACTGAACCAAGATGGCCATGCCTGTTGAAGAAAAATGATTTAAACTATGAGGCATCACCTTTCCTGTCTTGGCATGCCGACAAAATAGTGGTTACGAGTTCTATAATTTACTGCTGTAACAGCGGTCCCTGATTTTCTGGGATCTAATCGACCGTCTGCTAATTTTGCATTTCAGACCAGGTAAAGAGAAATGGTATGCAAAACCTTTGGCACCATCGACCTTCTAGAAGTCGGTACAGGCCCCACCCCGATAGCTTTACAACTTCTTTTCAATATTAGTTGGATGGCAGTAATTTTTGCGACATTACACATCACCGAGCTGGAAAACACGACCATATCTTAGCCGCATTATTAAGGCCTCCAATAACCGTTATTTTCGGGATGGCGGTAGGCAGTTCAGTATCTTAACAGTTCACTGCATCGGTGTCTTGTCGTTTAATTCACCACGCGATCAGAAAATTCATTAAAAAGATAAGAACATTTATTTAAATAGATAAGAACATTTATTTAAATAGATAAGAACATTATGTTATGCATAATTTAATATGCAGAAATGAAAATTAATGTAAATGAGAACAATGCTTTCAATATAAAGAGTAATTTGAAATGCAGTGATATGAAAATTGATTAAATTGATAAGAAAAATAATAATATAAAGATTAATTTGACATGCAGTGAAATGAAAATTAAAGAGCACAAAAAAGATCAAGCAAAAGTATATGTCCTTAAAACGTGTGTATATAATCATCTTTACAACAATTACCAATCTGATTAATTTGTTTCGATATATAGGCGGGGCAATTTAATTTTAAAAGTAGAGTGACCCTAAACATCTGCCAAGGTGAAATGACTTAATAAGCATAATTCAATATGGCGATCTCCATAAAGTTTCTGAGAGTGGTATCACGTGGCCAATGCGTTTCAACTTAAAGTGGTGGGACAATAAATATATTTTTATTAAAATCTTACTATACAAAGTGGTAATAGAGGCGAAATGTTCCGAATACAACAAATTTGACCAAACCAATTTTCAAAATGGCTGCCAAATATGGTAATAAAATGGCATTGACGCCGTATAACCATGACGTTTACAATGTCTTTTATAAGTTTCCGATGTCTCTGGATTTAAAAATGAATATTGAATGTCCAACATGGTAGAAATTCAAAATTGCTGCCCGCATGGCGGATTTTAAGTTAATCGTTATCTTCCCATTTGGATTTCATATGGTTTTAGATGTCATTAATATTTTGGTTGAATTCTGATCTCAAAAATTAATTTCGAAATCCAAAATGGCGGCTAAAATGAGTCCAAAATGATGGATTATTAATTAATCGTCATTTTCTTCCGTTGGATATGAGTTGGAATATGTCTTATAAAATAAGGTTTTTGAGGCTACTGGGTTCAATTCTGACTCCTAAAACTAAATTTGAAAAGCCCAGATGGTATAAATTTGGTTCCAAAATTGCCCATTTTTTGCTTATTTTTCTATTAAAATATATTTTTTCCAATTTACGAGGTCGGTATCACCTGAATCAATCTAATATTTTGTGGGGATGTATCTGGGTACTAACCCATCTCACAGAAATAATTTAGTCCAAATCCTAGACCCAAGGTTCGTCACCCCCTGCATGGTGCTCTTGCGGATGTGCTCTTAAAACATATCTAATAAGGTTTTCAGGGTTAAGGATTTCTGTTTTGGGTTTAAAGGAGCTAAGTCGCTAATATTTGGGGACTAGAAATTGACACAAATGAGTCGCAACGCATACAATAATGCAATATGAAAGTATAAAAATTGATTTACATTCAATCGTTTCTGTTTTTACTGTAATTTCTAATCAGTTAGGTTCGGCGAAATACCCCAGTGTTCTCAATCGAATTTCAATCTCTAGCGTCTGGTTTTTCCAATCTACGCCGACAGTATTTATTGGACATGCTCTCCAGATAAGAATATAGCGTCACTGTTTGACATGACTTGTGGAAGATGCCTAGCCTCGTTTTTCGAGCCCCTTATTACAAATAGCGCTGAAACGCATTATGGTACACGATTCGTGTACCAATTGTAAAATGTTTATTTTGTCTTATATATTGGATATCAGAAGGTTATGTTTTCCCGGTAAGATCACAACATCAATGTTGATTTAAAGCGACAAATAAATCGTGTTTTCAATGTCGAAGATTTTTGATGATATTGAGTTAGAGACTTAGCTACTTTAAAATTAAATTTAAGAATTCCAAACATCTGTTTAGCGTTCCTTTCTCAACTGCAATGATATACCATAGAAAGTATCATTTAAATACAGTTTTTTAAACACATTTCGCGTCCGGTTGGAGAGAAACTCACTCCCACTCCCCTCCCCCTCCCATCCCCCTCCCCGCATAGTGTGGAAACCCATAACAGAGCAAGGATCATGGCTCTTAATCCGCCCTTGGTATACATGTAGTGTGGAAACTCATTACAGAGCAAGGATCATGGCTCTTAATCCGCCCCTGGTATCTTATAGACCGTTAGTAACCAAAGGTTCATTTAAGAAAATAAACATTAAAAGGAGCTAAATCGCTATTCTTTGGCACCTAGGAATGGACACAAATGGGTCACAACGCATATAATAATGTAATATCAATGTATATAAACTGCGAAATACGCAAAGAGTCCCAATTGAATGGCAGTCTTTGCCGTCTGGTTATTCCAGTTTACACCGGTAGTATTCCCCTACATGGGATATGTTTAGCCTCGTTCATCGAACCGCTTCATTACAAATGGTGCTCGAAGGCATTCTGCATGCACGCGAATCGTCTGCCAATTTTATAAGTATTGGATATCAGAAGTCCATCTTTTGTCGGTAATATAACAACATCAGTGTTAATTTAAATTGACCAGTAAGTCGTTTTTACAATGTCACAGACTGTGGATGATACTGGGGATGATACTGAGTTGAAGACTTGGCTCCTTTAAACAACATTTAAATATGGCCTACCACCTGTAGCAATTTCCCCTAGAACTAAAACTAAATTGTGTATTGGAATTTACGATAAAACGAAAACGTTTGTTCCGCACAGGAATTAGCTGAGAAGGGACAAATACAATTTGTAGAACATGATATTTGATGTAAATGAACCCATTTGTTTCCAAGGACACCTGTTCAACACAAAATCTTATTTTCTATCCAGGCGGACCTTTCGTATAATAATCTATCTACATACAATGTTCAAGAAACTACACATTTAACAACATTTAAACACTTTCCTTTCAACATAAAAAATAAATTGTTTATTGGGATTTTTGATTAAACGTGGCTACAAAATACTAGATTAATATACCAATTGTTAATTTGTAAGGCGTTTAACAGCATATCTTTCTACGCGAATTAACAATAAATTGTTCATTGGATAAAACGGAAATATTTTTTTATATCTGTAATAATATACCAATTGTTTATATGCTAAGTTAAGTCTACCATGTAAAATGGAAATTTGCAACACGTTTTAACACCATATCTTTCTATATGACGTAACAATAAATTGTTCATTGGCTTAAAAGAAAACATTATTTTATAACTGTGAAGTAATATACCATTTATCGTTTTATACGTCTGATTTTTACTGATAATTAAAGTAATCAAGTAATGCGGGAAATTGCAAAATGTGTTAACGTCCTATCTTTCCCCTCCCTTTTCAGGGATGGACTGAACTAGAGTATGATAGTTTCAGGGGTCCTTTAACTGGTTAATGTTTTTGCGTAGTGATGAATTTACGTCGTTTTTTATGCATTTTTAAGATATGCATCAGCTAAAAACACCAGGACGTACTCTAGAAAGCACCATTTATAGTCGGGTTATTAAAAGAAATCGAGTCTGGTTGGAGAGAACCCCGTCGTTCCCCTCACGG